ATTTCTTCTTGTTTGCTTTTTATATTTCAATTTAAGTGAAATTATATGGTATCTGTCTTTCTTTGCCTGGCCTATTTCACTTAGCATGATGCCCTCTAGGTCCATCCATGTTATCACAAATGGCAAGATTTCCTTATTTGTTATGGCTGAGTAATATTCCATTGTGTATATGTACCACTTCTTTGTCCATACATCTACCAGTAGGCTCTTGGGTTGTTTCTATATCCTTGCTATTGTTATAACTGATTTCTATTCTCTCCTAATTTTAGTCCTCCCAAAAATCTGATTGGCAAGTTTTCCACATGTTATCTAAATTATTAAAATTTTGAACAAAGCACAGCCTGAGCAGAATGAACCTGCCACAAAGCTGATGCTGATAACACATTTAACTTTTGACTTCCAATACATCACTATCATTTGTCAGATATTTCCCTCAGGATATTATATAAATATTTACTAAATGCTTTGCTCAAGTTTAGTTACCCCGGAGAGCCCTGTTCCCACTGTAACAATCCCAAACTATACTTAAGTATGCTTGGAGGGGGTGGGGTCATCCTATATTTCTGTTCCTCTATTGTTTACTGCATAAATTTTACATCCTGAAATCTTAAGGACTTCAAATTTTGAAACTAATCCCAAGATTCTTAAGACTCAAAAGCCTTAGTTTTTTGTATTCAAAAGTAATTTCTCTGCTTTTCTGCCATATTTCCCCCTTACCTGAGGTAATGAATGCTTATGATTAAAAAGAGAAAAATAGTTTTTTTTCAAGGAAATGGGTCCCTTTAAAGAGAACTCCAGGGAAAACCTCAACATATCAAAATATTATCTGGCTAAATATAGGTTGAGAAACCAATCTCCCTCATATCTGGTTAACTTTTCGTACTATTGAAAGAATCTCAGTGTGTGGGCTGAATGTCCACTGGGACTTTCCATACAACTATGTAGTAGTGTGACTGAATAATCATGGGATTGGCATTTCCTGGTATTGCACACTGGTTGAGGATTAACATGGAGATTAAACCTTACATGAATTAAACTTTTTGGGAACTTTGCAAGAAGGAAGATGATACCTCTTTACAAAGAAAAGAATTATTATATTTATTATTTTGCTTTTAGAATCACTGACAAATTTAGACTTTTGGAATATGTTGTCTTTAGTTGTTCAGACTTTACCATCTGTTAGTATAAAAAAATCTATTTTTCTTGGGGGAAAACTTAACATTTTATAACACATAATCTATAACATACGTTTGCTTAGAAGATTTTTTTTTTTGAGATGTTGGAATAAATCACAATGTTCTCTTTCTATATCATCCTTTCACGAGGATTTCCAGAGTTCCTTTTAAGGTACATTTTTTTTTTAATATTTAAAGGGAGAATATACATTCAACAGATGATTGAAATTTTACCATGTGCATTCACCAAGGGATATGTAAAGGTGTTACTCTTGAGAAGTTTACAATATAATAAGGAACAACATTGAGGTCACTCAAGATTAGTAATTATCTACCACAGCATGGTTTAGGAGCTTATTTATTTATTATATCTAACTAGTTACGTTATTGTGATGCTAGCCCTTTCCTTTTAGACCTTACGGTATAAAAATAATGAAAATTTTGCTACTTTTTAGTATTGGTTGAAAAGTCCATATCAACACTTACATTATTCCTGAAAAGTCTTTTATGATTAAGATCCTCAGCTATATAGTAAGCTAACAAAGTTTTTCTATTTTGACTCATTATATATTTTAATGAAAAACAGGATACCTCAAAGCTCAATAATATGTGATTATTAGAGTGATTTATTAAAAATAATATCTCATGAAAGCAGTATTTCTAACATAAATTATTTAAAAGCCCTCTTGTAAGCTAAGCCTTTTCATTGCTGTTATGAATATAATATCACTTATTTTGGTGTAAAGCAAGGTTGATAAATAGGAAATTATTATGTTTTTAACCATAAATATTCATGAGAACTTGCTCCTTATCAACCAGTTCATCTGTCTTTATTTTAGTCCACATTGCTTTCTTTCCATCCTTCCCATACTTCTGCTAGAAGCAAAGGGACACAGTCATAATTCTGCAGGCTTTGTGTTTTTTCGCTGCTGAACCAACTGAATGTGCATAACTTTGAAGGAAAAAAAATTTTGTGGTGAAGGAAGAGCTCACTGATGACAAATGTTTTACTTACTGATTCAGATGAAAATTGGAATAAATTATTGGTTTAATAATATTGCTCAAGAACTACCAGCTTTCTGAAAATATTAGCAAAATGACATACAACTGCCAGAGCTAGATCTTTCTCCATTTAAAGATACTTAAAAACTGTTGTCCTTTGAGAATAAACTGATTGGCATTCTTCTCAGTCTAACATATTTTTTAAAAGACATTTAAATAAAAGAATAAAAAGGGAGTCCTCAATTTTTTAACAATTTTCCCATATCACTCATTGATATTATCATCACTCACAGATGAAAGTCTTACTTTCAAGATAGGCTTAATATTTATTATAGACCAAGAAGAAGACACAAGATTTTATCCTGGGTTAGGCAAAAGGTAATACAATAATTAGAAATGTATAATACATGATCTCTTATTTGGTTTTCATTAGAAGGAATGGGGTATTCTGGTTAATCCAATAAGAGAGGTGATATTAAGAAACCTATAGAATCCTAGTAAATTTTTTCAATTTTAAAGAATTTTACTACATTACAACTCCTATAGGACTACAATGGCTGCTTTAGGACATATTTTAAGATTTTATAGTACCTCAGAAACATTATTATGTCACTGACATGTAACTCATTCTTTCACATAACAAATATTGACTGAGTGTTTATTGGGTGTCAGGCTACATGTTAGGATACAAATACATGTAAGATATGACCCTTTCTGTAAAGAAGCTTCTACTCTGAGAGGAGGAGACAGACATATAAATATATACGTCCGGTAATATGTAAAATATGGTAGCTGAATTTGGATCTCCCTAAAAGCAGACTCTGTTAGGAAGACATGGATAGTTTATTTAGAAGGAGATCCTAAAATCACAAATGAGCAGGTTACTATATGGACAAGTGAGGCTCAATTCCATGGGGCCTTGTGAGGAACCAGGTACAGCACACCTCAGAACTGACCTGATGAGGGCTGAGTAAGGTGAGGTTTCCATCATGCTCTTCCTCATTGGCTGGAGGTTGTCTCTGGAAGTTCTGCGCTATCAGCTAGGAAACACCCTTAGGCAGAGCGGCAGAAGTGGGAAGGCTCTGAGGTAGAAAGGCTTTTGAGGAGGGAAGCCATTGGCATGCAGGGGAAACTGTCCACCACAGGTGCAGGTAGGCTTTGAGGTAGCCAAGAGCATGTGGGATGTAGTAACAGCAGCCTCTGCTACAGATGATGTTGTAGAAGTCAATTACTGTAGAGTAGGGAGCCAGAAGAGGGAAGAATCAGTTCTACCTGATGAGTCAGGGGAGACTTCACAGGACAGCAGGAACGTAAGCAGAGTAGCTTTTCTTTGGGTAAATGTAAGGGAGTGATGTGGAGGGCTACTACTTATTTGCAGATACATATAGTGGAATAAGATATTACAGAGAGGTCAGTGAGCATGGAGTCCTACCTCTACTTGGCTGTGATCAAATTCACTGCTTAAATAAATGTATATGTGCTTTTCCTTAGGTAGATACATGCTCAATGGGCCAGTTTTCAAAGCCAATGTGGACGTTTCAAGCTACTGACTATACAATGGACAGTTTCCTGTGAGAATTATAGAAACAACTGCTTTACTTCTCAACTTTGGCTTTGACCAAAAGATGTGGAGGTGGCATCAGGAAGCTGAAAGCAGACAAGCAGACATAGGAATTCTGCATGTACTGAAACTTCAGCAGAGAAACTAAGTCCCAGGAGAACAGAAGAGGGCAGGTGAGGCTTTGGTCTCATAGAAAATGGGGATGTGGATCAGTCTTCAAGGCAGGTACTACAAAGTAGAATAGAAGTAGAGACCAGAAGCACTGTTCCTGAAATTGTGATCCAAATAGGAAAGGAGAAACAAAGCAGGATCCCATTGACTAGAACTGAGGCACCAAGACAGCACAAGAGCAGCCGCGAGAATGATACACCCAGCAGGCTCTGTTAGGAATTGGCACTGGTTTTCAATGGAAGGTTTTCAATAGAAGGAATGGGGTATTCTGGTTAATCCAATAAGAGAGGTGATATTAAGAAACCTATAGAACCCTAGTAAATTTTTCAATTTTACTACATTACAACTCCTATAGGACTACAATGGCTGCTTTAGGACATATTTTAAGATTTTACAGTACCTCAGAAACATTATTATGTCACTGACATGTAACTCATTCTTTCACATAACCTAGACTCCTAAGCTATAAAATTAGTGTCTTCATTTTCTTAGACACTAAGTCAGCAGTTTGGGAATATTCATGAGCACAAGAATCATTTAGCAGACTTGTTTTAAACATGCAGGTGCCCTAAGCTCTAACCTTGCCCTGTCCACATATCACACTTCTACAGATCTGGAGTGAAGTCTAGGAATCCGCATTTTTAACAAGAGTCTCAAGTGACGAGGATACAGGTGGTCGATCTGTGCACTATGTGATAGGAAACAATGAATCAAGGTAAGGGTGAGGCCAGCGTCTAGAAAAGGAAAGAGCCTCAACTGGCCTCAACAATGTTTATGGTAGGGTGATCAACTCATCCCAGTACAGATCTTCCTTGACTTACATTGGGTTACATTCTGATAAACCGATCATAAGTTGAAAACATCCTCAGTTGAAAACGTGTTCAGTACACCTGACCTACCACACATCGTTGCTTAGCCTACCCTGCCTCAGACATGCTCACACTTTCATCAGCCTTCAGTTGGGCAAAGTCATCTAACACAAAGCCTATTTTATAGTAAAGTATTGAATATCTCATGTAAGTTATTGAATACTATACTGAAAGTGAAAAACAGAATGGCTGTGTGGGTACAGATGGTCCCAAGTTGCCTACCTGGTGGTGGTGTGGCTGACTGGGGTCTACGGTTTGCTGCCACTGCCCAGCATCGTGAGAGAGGATCGTGCAGCATATGGCTAGGCCAGGAAAAGATCAAAATTCAAAAATCAAACTATGGTTTCTACTGAGTGCCTATCCATTTCACACTAGCATAAAGTTGAAAAATTCTAAGCTGAACTACTGTAAGTTGCGGACCGTCTGTGTACCCAAAACGATCTAAGTTTCAGCATGAAAAGTGCTATGTCCCAGGAAACCATGCTGTCTCTAGCATACGGGGAAGTTCCGCCGTGCCCAGTAGCTCACTGAAGACCTACCTACACATCATCACCTCAGTTCTCTGCAATGCTGGGGACTGCCTATGGCGCCAGCATTTCTATTCCACACACACACTTTATGTTACTCCTTTCTTGAGTCAAATATGATATTTATTCAGGTAAGATCTGAAGGTTAGAATCTCATGAGGTCCTGGGCTGAAGGTCCTGCTCCCAGAGGTCATGTATCTACCCCAAATTCCCTCATCTTCATACCTGGAAATAGAGGAACTCCAGAAAATGAAAGGTAAGCAAAGAAGAGCAAATACAAGGGCAAACTAGTTTTTGGGTGACTATATAAATATCCTAACATGTACAAGGCTGACTCTGGGGCCAGGTACCTGGGCTGTATCACTGCTCCATCACTTACAAGGACGTATGAACTTGGTCATGTTACTTCTGCTCTGTGTGCCTGTTTCCTCATCTGTAAGGAAGAAATAATAATAATAACATTAATAATCATAATAGGGACTACCTCATAGAATTAAATTAATCGACACATGTGAAGCGCTCAGAACAGTGTCTGCACACAATGTCACTCCATAAATGGAAGTTATGAAGATTATTAAAACCCTAATATGTAAGATAACTCCAAGTCATTCAGTTACTTGTATGAATTATACTAGTCTTTCAGCCCTCAAGCAAATTAAGTTGTAACATTCAAAGTCACTTCATACAAAGAAACTTCTTTTCCTATCACCTAAAATACCATGTGGAACAATCCACCCTGTACTTCAGTTTCTCTCTGGTGCTGGTGGAAGGAAGGATGAAATCAGCCCCTACGTGATGTTTAATAATGTTTAATAGTGCACCCCAAGTTGGGCCAGAACCTCCAGTAAGCTTGCAAGCACAGGAGGAGCTTGGAAACACTTCAAAGCCTGCTGACACTCAGATTGCTTCTGATGGTGGGTGGATTAGTATCGGTGGTCTGTCCTTAGCCACACACTTCACCTCCTTATGTCTCAGTCCTCTTCACCTTTCCCTCTGACTGTGACAATGAGAATATTGAAATCAATAAGGTCACTCTCCTTGCTGCAAATACTCAAGTGCTTGGAAATGAAAAATGGTTCAGATGGAAGAAGCCAAGGCAGAGACAGGGAGGGCAGAGGTGAAAGCTAGAGCTGGCAGTATCCACAGTATCGAGGAAAGGGGGAGAGAGGATGGGTGACTAGAAGTGAGAATTCTCGGGTCTCACACCAGTTTTTTCACTACTCAGAGGTGGGGACAGGTAATTTTAATTCAATGGACTCTGCAATCCCTCTTCTCTAAAATAAAGGCATTGGTCCAGATAAACAGCTATTATTGCTTTTGGTTCTAAAAATCCTAAACATATTTTACAATAAAACATCAGACAGCTGGCTTAAGCTTTATTCGTCTCTTTCATAACCTGGTATATTACATTGTTCTGACACCCATTGTCATTTTGAAACCATCTGTGTATTTGTCTTTCCTGCAACACGAGAAGTTTATTAATGACAGAGATTGTGTTTTATCTCATGTTATCCCCAGTGCGTAGACCCATGGTTCACATGTAGGAATGTTCAGTGGGCTCTTTGGAACCGAACTGTTGCACTAAGCTCCTGACTTGTATTAGTCAGGATGTCGGCTAGAAACTGATGCCCACTCACACCAGGTAACTGAGGAGAGGTGACTAAAGGGATGACTTTCAAAGTCTACTCAGAGTGAGGGTAAATTCCCCATCAAGGAATGCAGTTATGAGAACCCTGAGAAAGCAGCTGAAGACACAGGTATGAAGTGGGGTCTCCCCTTCTCTGTGGGAAGTCGGGAGTCAGTGACACATATCCTGTCACAAACTCACTTTCCCCTGCCCTCTGACTCCTGCCAAGTGCCTCCACTGGCTGAGCCCTGTGGGAAGCTGTGAGCATGGCCGAGTGTCCTGCTGCCCATCAAGGTCAGCCCCTGGGGCACAGAGTGGAGTGGGCAAGAGGGAGAGCAGATCTAGCGTGGGAGTCCAGGATGTCCACCACTCAATCTCTAGGAAAAGCCCAATAAAATACACAGTGTGGCTAGTTGCTTTATACAGTGTTTATGTTGAATGATGATCATGGTGGCAAGGTATGAAGTCTCCTCTCCTTACAAAGACTGGCTTTGGATTTAACTCCATAGTAATCTCTGGCGTTCATTCACTCAACATGCCTTTATTAATATGCACAAGGAGTGAAGTACTGTACAAGGCATGAAAAATCAAAGGTCAATTTGACTTAGATTGTGTCCCAGGGAATTTAGAGTGTGGTGGAAGAGATAAAGTACTGCTGTAACTAGGTATAAAGAAGAAAAGAGAACCCTTTAGGAAAATAAAAAGATAAAAGCTAGGCGAGTTCTTAGCAAGAGCAATGATTTTGATGGAGGATTTCTGAATAGGTTTCCTTTGGGTTAGGTCTTACATGGGTTCTTTGGTCATGAAGAGATTGAAGAAAAAATTTCCTATGTGCATATGCCTCAAGGCTTTCAGGAAAAAATAATTCTGTTGGTTTCCTTGTAAGTTAAAAGATAGGGCCTAATAAGTATACCTTGGGGATAACAAAAACTCAGAAAGGGAAGGCCTTGAATGACAGGCTGAGCCTGAGCCACCCTCCTGTAGGCAGGAGGAAGCCATTGCAGGGTTTTCAGCAGGTAATGAGAGCTGGGACTTCAAGGAAAAATAATAGCAGGTGACAATGCACTGAGAGCTCTCTGTGCCAAGCACTCTTCTTAATACTGCTCCCCAGTGGTGTAATCAAGGGTGGGGGTAGAAGGTGCAGTCTACTCCAGGGCTGATATTGTTTAGAACTGCAGGCCCATGATGATAGTAAAAAGCATCCAGATTTTTAGTTGGTTTCATTATTCTTTCTAAGCTCTCCACAGAAAGTGTAGCCCCCCCCCTTCCTGCCTGCATCTCAGGCAAACCACATACACATACTAACTCATTTAATCTTGAAAGCATCCCAGTGAGGTAGATACTTTTATTATTGTCATGCAGGCATGGAATAGCAAGTGATTTTCTCAACCTAAGAAAGGTAGCAAACGGTAGAGCCAAGACTTACATGCCTAGTCTGGTTCCTAATAACTACTCCAACTGGCCTGGCAGGAAGGCAACAAGGGTTATGCCTATTAAACATAGCCTCATGCAATCCACAGCAAATAAGACCTTTGAGTGGTTATTTTGTGATGATTCCAGGCCTAAAAAAATTATCCATTTTTCCATATACAAATAGGATCCTAAACAGCTCTGTCCTGATTTTAAGTTGGTTCTATTTCAAATTCTAACAGACGTAAATTGGGGTGTTTACAAAGAATCCAGGTGTATTTGACAGAAACCAAATAACTACAATTGTCTAATCAAGCATGTAGAGATAAGTGTTATGTCAGCTGTCCTATGGATATGTCAGCCAGTTAATATTCTCGGTGGTTAAGTGAAATCACTTCTTGCATTCTGTCTGGATGGACTATTTGCAACATTCCTTTTTACGTGGTCCAACCACTATTGTTCAAAATGGTTGTTCTCAATATTAATGCCTATTCTAAATGCCAAGGGCAAAAGCTCTTTGTCAGACATGTTTCAGGTATAATTAAGCACTACAAGAGAATCTCATATTGTTAGTTATTATTCATTTGCATTGCACTTTGTGTAAGAAACCCTTCTGATTCATGTGTTCAGAATCTGTTCCAACTACGTGATGCTTCCTGATTCTGGATGTTCTCCCAGGCTACACCTTTGCTCCATGCCTTCCTCCCCCAAAACTTTACTTCTCTCCCATTTCACCACCACCTCCTCCTCCACTGTTACCACCACAGCCAGAGGGCCCCCGTGACACTGCAGGCACAGCTATGGGAACCAACAAGTGTACAAGGACATGAGCTGGATAAAACCTTACAGATGAAAACAATACTAGCAACAATAATGATAACTGCCAATACCCATTTAGTGCTCACCACTTCACATGCACAATTTCATTCACTGTTCAAACAACTCTATTTGTTAGGAAATATTACCATCCTCATTTCCTATGTTAAAAAAATACAAAATAATAAGGCTCAAAGGGATTCAGTGAAATAGTGAAGATCGTGCTGTATGTAACTAGTAGTGTCTAATTTGCTGGGAGGCCTGTGTGACTTCAGAGGCCTTGCTCCTAGACCCTCCACTAAAACAAAGGGTTTCCTCTGCAGTGGTACAATCAGAGGAAATAAAAATAGCAAAGGAAAGACACAGAGTCTGAAAAAAAGGAGCTGTCTGAAGCAATTTCTGTAAGAAGCAAAAGTCCTATGATATGTCTTTGGGTGGGTAGGGGTATTTCCCCTCTAGGGACAGACTCGAGCATTTGCAAAATTCTGTGACACCCCACCCCCGCCCCTATTTACTGGGTCATCCCCATGACTATGGAAAATCCTAGGGAAATAAAATCACTTTCTCCAAAATATAAGAATCCTGGATCTCTGACCTTCTGCAATGAGACCTTGTTCTATTTATTTAGTACACAAACCTATTCTGCCTTGTGTTAGCAAAAGAAAGTTTAAAAAACAAAATGAGATTTTACCAACAATATGTTAAATGAAACTCTCCAAATTAAGCCCATGTTTTAAGGTAATTGAATGTTAAGATTTTTACTTTAACACCAATTCCATTCCGCCCACTTTGCCTATTAGCATATAAGACATTCACAAGCACACTGTAAATATAGGGGTGCTTCACCTACTCCATTCTTCTAGTCAGTATGTCCTTTTAAGCAGAGAAAAAGATTAAAAAAACATCAAATTCCTCCTGCATGGCAATGCCAGATCTGAAGGTGCATTATAATGGCACACATATCCTCAGTCCAACATGAACATGCTTCATTTTCCCCTCGATTTATCTCATTTTAATGTCATAAGACCCCTCTGAATCCCAAGAATGCAGCATCCACAGAGCTCCTTTTCATTTTGTCCAATTCTGCCCTCCAGATGCTCATACGGTCTAGTTCAAGGGAGAAAGAGAGTGGTAGGGGACTTGCTTAATCAGCAAGAGCTTTCAGGCAATAATCTCTCTTAAAATTAAGCAAATGGCAGAGAGACATTTTCATATGTTAATCCCAAACAATTATTAGAGGCCATTTGGAATGTTGATTTGAAAATGGATCTTTAACCCTGCCAGGGCTCAGAAGGAGAGAGTGCTGTGATCAGTTAGTGATGCCCACTGTATAGGTGCAGAAAGGCAGGCCAGTGGGGTGCAGTTCTGGGGCGGGCACAACATGCTGGATAAAATGATGATGTAATCAACCTTGTCCAACTTCTGCTGATACTAAGGGTGGATTTTCCATAGGCCATTCTCATTATTTTCCCCCAGGCTCTCCTGTGCATATATTTTCTTTCTAGGACTTACAGTTTATAATTTTTAAAGAATGCTATTAATTCCTATATATCTGTCCAAGTGGTCCCTTTGTCACCATTTTCA